CAATCTAATTTTTTTCAGATTCTGAGGTATGCCCTACAATTACCATTATGACTTGGCCACGAATAAAGCGAAAGTGATTTTTCAAATTGTTGTTCCGATGGCGAGGTTCCGTTTGGAGAGCTGTCTATGTGGAATACCTTATTTGGCTATCAGGTTATGTGATTCTCTCGTGCATCTATCGCTTTGCTCTCAACGAGGACCAACAAGGGTAAGCTAATTTGATTGAATTTCAATTATCTTTTTCTCCAGGAATAAGAGGAAGGTGGGAGTTCTATAGCGGAGGGCTATATTGTAGTTCGCATTTATACTTCTTTGTTCCAAATAGAACCAAGCAGCAGCCTACTCATTCACTTACGTTATAGCGATTATGCGACGGATCTCCCATTTTCAAAAGCAGCTTATCCGCTTCTGCGCAAATATCACGGGTTTGCAGGGAAACAGAGACTTGTACAAAGACTGGCAGATCAGAGGGAAGCACCTTCCGCGATAAGTAGGACACCTCATGACACCACGCACGTGCAATGCGAATGCAGCGATGTCTGCGTCCCACACGTTCCCCATGCTCTCTTGCCTTCGCCTCTGTTCTATGACAGACTCCCTAGAGTGCCATTTTGCCTTGCCCGCCAACCAAAAAAGGCAACTATATTCAGCATTTTCGGTGTTTCCTTTTTATTCTTCTCTTCTGCTGGTGGTCCATTTAGCAGTCAATCATTCATTTCATTTCTGAGCACTAAAGGAAAGTCCACCACGATTGTCTCGGAATGTGCACTCAGGCAACCCTGCGCACATCCTAGGAAGTAAATCATGTATTGTGCCATGCATTATCTAATTGATCCTTTACTTTGACTTCACTCTAGCAGAATTCCTTCCCTAGCCTTCTTCCAGGATCCTTATGCAAAGGTTGATGGAAACCGAAGTAGTGAAACTGAAAATTGGGTCATCGCTGAGTTACAAGCGCCCGGCATATTACTGTCTAAGCTCCTGTTGGATGTGGTCGAACACCGCGAAAATGGGAATCATTTATTCAGCGCCAGATCACCCCATTTATATTGTGGCTTGCTTCTTTATCTCTATTCCTGGTGATCTTCTTTCATTCTCCTTTCTATTCTTCTTTCCCGGCCTTCATCCATTTCCCACCTAAACTACCCCTGTTCCCCTACTGTGCCAAATTTGTACCCATAGTGTTCAGCACTGGTTACCCTTTCCGCTTGGGAATTGTCCTTTGGGCTGAAAAAAGCAGTAATTGAAAATAATACTGCTTTTATCAGCTTAACAGTGATGGATATGCTCTCCTCGTTGTAGCCGTGGAAGCTGGATTGGTGCGAAAGTGTACAGGGTGCGGCAAAAGTTCTGGCAACGGTAAATATGCCCGTAAAAAACGGTCGAATCGATCGATACATGATACAACTTCAACAGCATTTATCAACAGCTATATAGATCACAAAAACAAACTAGATCTCGAAATAGCCTCCTTTTGCTCGAATACAGGCTGAAAGTCTCCTAGGAAACGGCCTCATTGTCGGACGGCTTCACGGGGCGGGGGGGTGTCCAGCCAGGCCGTCAAATTCCTCCCATGCTTTTAACGAGGTTGCAGTATGAGCACCAAAATTTATGCTGACGTGGAGCAGACTTTCGTCTCAGAATGACTACACGGAGATAGTTGACAATGATTAGGCCCCGAGACTGTCCGGAGCGGGCCATCTTTCGCGCGAGATGAGTTGGGAAGTGCGATTGCGCACCTTGACCGGACTGTCTGGAGCTGGAGAGTCTGCTGATAAGTTCATGTCCGGATTGCCGAAATGGGCGATGTTTGCAGGGGAGTACTCCTTCTCAACCGACTTAGTAGTTTTGCTATCACTTGACTTTTCTCAAGAAAAACAGGAGGCATGCTTGCCGTCCGCGCCCCCAATGGTGATTGCCCAACAAACATCACGACTTGGGGTGCTCAGAATCGCTTGAGCATTCGCGCCATGTGGTGGCAGGAGCTTCTTCGTATCATCCTATCGTTTTGGGTGTTCAGGAATTGATCTGTTGAAAACAGACATTCGTCAGTGAAAAGGATGTTGCTGTGCCGTGCCTGCGAAAATCGCTTTAAAAGCTCCTTACATCTTTCGAGCCTAGTTTTCTTCATACGCTCAGTTAGCATGTGAGCTTTCTGATCTTATAAGAGCGAAGTCGAAGGTGGCTTGTGACAATCCTTTCCAAACAGATCGAGTAGAAGATACCCATGTCAGAGGGGGCGGGGGCCCCATTTTTTTTTTTTTTCTCTCGCATTACCAGGGTGTTGGCGGTCGGATTTTCTCTGCGAATGATTTTCACGCTTCCGTTTTTGTCGTTGACATCATGTAAGCTTTCACTTCTAGGTTGGTTGCTCATATCTGTCGCTCCTGTACTTTGACGTTGTTGTACACGGGTTCTTAAGAATCTGGAGCATGTGGAGGATCCAGATGGAGCTGCTTGGAGATGGTCTTTGCAGTGCATCCAGCCAGATGGAGGTGCAGGATGGAGGCTCGTTGGTCTTTGCTTGTCACCATTCTGTAAAATGGCATATTTAAGAACGGCCAATTCATGGAATGTATAGAAGAAGACTTGCAGTAAATAGTGGCACAGATCCTGTCGAGATCGAAGGCCTCATTTCTTATGGAGGACCTGAAACGGGATTTTGCCAGATCTTTTTGCCGCACCCTGTATAATCCTGTTTAGGCTTGGATATCGATTCCGGACCCACCCCATTAGGCCGATGTCAGACTTTGCGAATCGCGCGATTCGTTACTAGCGATTCGCGCGATTCGCTGGCGTCCGCGGTCGCGTTGCGGTACCAGCCAATTGAGTGATTCACTGGCCATGACGCGACCGCAGACGCGAACGCAACGCTAGCGAATCGCGCTCATGTCGCAAGTGCTGACATGGGCTGAAAACTTGCTCATAGACTGTCACTACTCTAAAGCTCGTTGAATGAGCAACGGTCGCAAAAATTTACTCACCGTCCTAAAAAAAATCTATTCCATCGTCTTCCAACTCACGATGCAACCTCACCAGCAACGCCCTCTTCTAGTAAATGTTACACAATTTGACAATACTCATTTTACGACAGGTTGACTTGGAACTGTCGAACTATAGCTTCTGAGGTAACTTCGAAGGACATGAGCCATGCCAATGGCACTTGAACAGGCCCTAAATAATAGTTCTCTTGAAAACCTGAAAATTGTTCAATTTTTTAGGCATTTCGAGAATTTCGCTGCCTATTGTGATAAACGGCTCCAATATATTCCAATGAACTTCATGTTGGGATTCTTTGTGACGGTCGTCGTGAATCGCTGGGTGACACAATTTGCCAATCTTGGCATGATTGACAAGTACGTGAGAAATTTACACCTGCAACCCCTGACTGGTCAAAAGCTCACCTCCTAACACCACGGGCCCCTGCGTGAGCGTATAGGCCTATGCGAAACCACAAACACTCTCCTAGCTTAGCTCGTCGAATCTGAGAAACAAAGCTCGTGTGCCCTTTGCATCCGTGGCCCATCCGCACTTCGGTACCCATCTCGTAATTAAAGCAAAAACCCTGTTAGGGGTCGTGCCGAAAAATCTATTTTGTGTGTAGGATAGAATAGCCCACGAGTATGACAGTGTGCCGGTGAAACTCCAGGTCGGGAGGGGGGGGGGGGGGCACTCCCTGTTATCTTATCCGTAGTACTAGAGAGCACTCCTTTGGACTTCAACCCTATGGATAAGATAATAGGTAAACGACTCATTTCAAGTGCACTTTTGATAAGGACCGGTGTATGCCCTACATCACGCACATCCTGCTCACATCCTAGGCAATTTATGGCATGTGATCGTCCACCCTGGGCTCCTACACCCTTGCGCCTAGGAAAGGATGTCCATACCCTAGTTCAGGACCATTTCCTTGGACCACAGCAGGCCGAAATCTGAAAGCACCTTCAGGAGTACTTCCACACTACACCGGTCCTTATCAGAAGTAATTTCAAATGAATCGATTACGTGTCATGAAAACTCTTATCCTTATATTAGCGTTGGAGAGCACAATGGAGTGCCCCCACCTGGAGTTTCATCGATGTGCCGTTGTTGCAACTCGAAAGCGCTCCAATGGCGCTAAGGCCTTACAAACTGAGCACATGACTACTAATAGAGCTGAATGGAGCCAATATTTCAACATTGGGGCCCCCTTTTACAGGTCCCTGACATCTTTCCTCATTAGATGTGTGCTAACAAGCAATACCACTTCACTCCTGAATGCCACAAGCTTAAGTTATTGCAGATTGTATTTTCCGCTGCTGAATTTTGTGAAGGTTTTAGGTTTGCAGGTTTTGGACCGTTTTCTTTGGTTTTTCTTCACCACTGCGCCTTTTACCACCTTTATCTCTCATTTTCGTCGACAAATTTCTCGTGCCATCCGCCTTTGAATAGCATTGGGGTTTCAGTATCGCCCTGTTTACCTCGGAACTTGTCAAAGGAAACGATGATCGAGGAAAAAATATACGGCGGAACATAGTGCGGTGAGTTTACAATGTCTTATCAATGAATACAGCGGTGTGTGACGCAAAAATCGACTTCAGGTACTGCGTCGCTTCGCAATGCCTCGTTTTCCGGGATATTCATCTGGGAGTCAGGAAACGTTTCCCAACTCTAGACACAATGGTAGCTGCGGGTAAGTTTGGTGCTGATACTTTCAGATCAGAGGCGGCGTTGGAAAATTCTCTTTCAATAGTGTAGTGGCACTCACCGTAGTTTTTACAATCTTGAACGGAGCTGAACCTAATGGGACCTACGGAACTTCCTCACTACCATAGAGGTAATTATCATGATTGGCTTGTATAAATAACAATTTTGAATGAGAGTTTTCTTCTCAAAATCCGAAAAAATTTTGGGTGTTGCGTGGGGGGAAGGAGGGGTGGAGAGCCTGCGTCAAAAACAGATCACTCGAAAAAAAAAAGCCCGAGTGGCAGCTTAGACTTTAACAAAATCACATCACAATTTCAACAAATTTCCAACCCAATTATCCAAATCCACTTGCTATACCAAGAAAGTCCGACTCAATCGGGAGACGAAAACTGGCGAATTTGGACTCTTATCCCAAAGTGCATTGAAATTTTCGAGCGAGCATAGGTGAGGTAGACTACGCACTGAGTGGGCGGGGCTAAAACTCGAAACTCAAGCATGCTCAGGGGGAGTCTCAAGATCTGATTCAGAATGAAAATCGGTTAACAACAGTGTAGCATAACATTCTCATCAACATTCCAAAGCATTTCCACTCAAACGACGTGAATCATTACGTTCTAGGCTTTTTCCAAAAGCATGAGCTCGAGAAGTTCAAGATCAAAACGCGTTACCTAAATACTGGTTCCGTTCAAACGGGCTCTGCATCTATTGCAATACCGGCACCGATGAGAGAGCGTCTCAAAAAATTGGGACATCGCAGGATACGCTATCGCAAGGTGGAGCCAAACCTGATATTGCTCTTCCCTGAGTAATGTGTGTAACCTTTCCAGGAAATTCGTAGTTTCCGCACTGGGCTGTCTCTGATCTGGACGTACGACTGGGTGCCACTGCCTGTAATGTATCCACAGTTGATCTTCCTAGCCGTGCACTGCTATTTCATCGTCTGCATCTTCTGCAGACAGTTCATCATCACTCCGACTGCAGCCAATTATACTGTTGTATGTAAAGCTTGTGAGATTATGTTCTTATCGTTATTCCCGAAATCCTACTGGACCTTTTCAGGTTGATCTCTACTTTCCAATTATGACTTCTATTGAGTTCATCTGTTATGTAGGATGGATGAAGGTCGCTATGGAGCTGTTGAATCCGTTCGGCGAAGACGACGACGATTTTGATTGCAACTTCCTTTTGGATAGAAATCTCACTGTAAGGATTTATCATTCGCTTGGAGATCTCATCGTTCATTTTCTCGAACAGGTCCACCGTATGCTCGGTTTCTAAATGAATCGCTTGAAGGGACTAATAGTCCATAGAACGCAATGTGGCTCGAAGGGGGGGGGGGCACTCTGAGAAAAGTCATCTAGGACTAAGCCTAAACAGCAGGGACGAACTCCGGAGAATACGAAAATTGCTTCCGTACACCGGAGTTCCTCTCCTCTTCAAAAGCTTAGTCCTAAAACGGAGCGTTTCCGTGATTTTGACGCGATGTTGCGTGGTGCCCCCCACCGGGCCACATTGCGCCATTCATACCACTGAAACTGAAATGGTCACAAAAGAAAGCAGAAGATGTCTGGAAGCTCTCCGCGAGTGCCCTTCTTTCCCAATGACGTCACCCAGACCCACGCAAAACATCGCAACAAGCATGTTATAGCGGCACTGAATGCAGAGCAACCGGCAACTGATTACAGTTATTGTGTGCCGGCTGCTCTGTTTGTCAAAAATGATCAGAAAAAGCGATGATCGGCCGACGAAAGCATAGCATAGTCGTATCGCCGAAATATCTTGATGATAGGTGATAAGATATTTGCCTTTATGTCCATGAGGGGATGCTTACTGCAGAGAGCGATTTGTGGGATTTTGCGTCATCGTTTGTTTCTCATTTTGAAGACAAGTCCCTGGATCAAATTGATGTGGTGGCCTGATACAACCATGAAAGTAGGGATACGCGGTGGAACGAAAATGAAAAAAAGATAAGTTAAAAACATGGAATATACTATTCTGCGCTATGGTGAAGGCGAAGAGGCATGAAGCAGATCCTTATCCTTCTATTTTATAAAGCGCTAACTTTGTGTGTCGGTTTGTGTATCTGTATGTGTGTGTATGTGTATGTATGTGTGTCCGTCCGCAAAATGAAGTGAGTGAGAAGGAAGCTCATGGGATAAACAAACCGCTAACAAATCGGGTAGCTTACAGGATTTGAGATATCAATGTTTTGTAGCAGGATAGTTGTGATAACACTCTTAGGGCTATATAAACACCTGCTTAGCACACTTCCGTTCATTCCACACAGTGGCAGCTGGAGGGCAGTGGAGAGAGGAAGGGAGGATGAGGAAGGGAAGCGAAAAATCTACCGTCATATCATGATTGTGTCCCTTCTACTGTATGAAACACCATTGTGTTGCATACGCGTCACTTCCAGGAGGTGTTGGTGTCACAGGAGGAAGGGACCATAGCGGAGGATAGAAAGCTTGCGCAGGAAAGGAAGGTCCCGGCGGTTGACGGGGGACTAATCTGGTTGTATATAATGTGCTAATCTGTCTGTCTGCCTCTATCTCCGTCTGTCACGAAATTCGGTACTACCTGAAGAACGACTTGCATAGTCCGGGTCAAGTCTGGGATGGGTGGGGCATGGGTCGAGAAGTACGAAACACACGTCAGCTGGGCGGAGCTCCCCTTGCAAACATGAAAGAAGGGTTGCAGTCCATCGCATCCTTTCTTTCATTCTTTCATGTTCGTGCTGGATTACTACATCAACTTAATCCTGATCCTTGCCTTCAAGATCTTGACCCGGAGCTATGAGTGTCATGAACTGGCCACTTGCTACAACACTGCCTTAGCTTTTCTGAAAACTCCTGAATTTGGTAAGCTCCTAAACTTGGTAATCATTTCAGATCTCTTTGACTGCCGTCGATAACGCATTTGATGACATCCCAGATATCAGCCCTGATATGTTTTGGCATGACACGGTATCACCGTTATATTCACAGGAAATGGCAGGGAAACACGTCAATTTCTATGTGGGCAGTGCAAATAGATCCGAGTGAGTTTTTCCATATTGTGGCTTGCAGAACAAAACCCTATCCCAGAATTTTCACAATTTTTTGGTTCTTAGTAAGGATCGCTGGGGCTGACTTATAGGGGTTTTGGAAAATATTAATCCAGCATATTATAAGCAATTTTTCCTTATTATTGCAGCCATTTCCGGTTAATTTTGAAAGCTTTACATTCAGTTATTATTTTCCAGTACAGAGAAGATTTACCTTTCTGCACCAAATTTCCTGAGGGCCAAAATTTAACGCCTCACTTGTTGGGTAACCATCATCGCAATGAAGTAGGGAACTGTTCGGCAATGGAAATGAGTCTTAGAATGGGGGAGTTCAAAGTGTCAAAGTGACATTTATTGACAGATGAGCTGATAAGTATCCTTACCGGCTAAGCTGTCTTGTAAACTTGAAACTCAGCGGCGAATTTCAGGATTCCTAGTGACGTGACAGAGATCACGATGGTGCCGCATCCGCAGAATGAGAAATTCGACCATTACATCCAGAGGCCTTCTCGGCGTCGACGTGCTAGCGTTGTCTCAGTCAATAGGAACCTGAAACACAAGTAAGTCCTGCTGAACATACTTACATAGGTAGGCAGGCATAGCTGGGCTCAGTTTGGGTTCAGTGCCAGACCAGAGAAGACCCATGGCTTCATCGAGTGATAATGTGGTTGGAGTTGGGTAGTGTACGGTGCCTGGTCACTGTATGTTTGGCCAATGAAATTTCGCAGATGATGGAAAAACTAAGTCAGCTGCAGTCCGTGAATGTCTTGAGGCAAAGTTTTCTTATAGCGACACCGTATCCGACACTCGAAGCTATGCCACATCGATACTGAACCAAGTATTCCGACGGAAGCCCTCTTCATCCATGTAAGTTGTTCTCCTTTCCGCGTGAATCCTTCCCTCCACCCTGCAAAGATATCTTTGAACAATACTATTTAATGACAAACTATATTCCGCAAATTGTACTTTAAGAAAATATCTTCGGTGGAGCATTTCCGCAAGTCACTAGAGGGCAGCGACCTATAATACTATGTTGTCCTCCCTTTTCTCATGAAACCCGGCAGTATGTGCATCTGCGAACCACTTGAACTCGGTCCTTTTGAGCCAAAGTGCTGCGTTCGTCCGCGTCCTCTCGCCTGAACACTGATTTACAAATATAGCGACTCGTAGGTTCAAATTTCTACTACATGAAAAATACATGAAAAGTGGCTCACGACCCGACCCCATTTGCCTCATCTCCCTGCCGTTTCATTTATAACCGCGTTTGGCCATGTGAAGAAGCTACGGTGAACGCCGGGTCCTCTAATCATCTGCTGCTCCTAGCCATTTCGCGCAAATCACTGAGAAGCGTAGAAGTAGTCCGTAACCGTTATCGAAGCAGACAAGGGAGGTACCCCATAGGTAGCCCTGCGAGAAGGCAGGCCCAGTTGGGCGTAACAGACGAGTCGCAGGCTACTGTAGGCGTTGTGGGTGGGGATCGCCAATTGAATAGATGCTGCTATACGAGCGTCCCAGTCTAGCACAGTTCGCGCTTCAACTCGTCCGCTGACCCGTCTGCGCGACTTTGCCTTCTCGCCGCGCGACAGGCCTTCCGTAAGCAAGGCCGCCAACCTTGTGAACTATCAATCACAAGTGTCGATTGAAAATTCTTGCATAAGTACCGGAACAGTTCGTTAATAGAGTTATTAGGGTATCTTTCAGTTCTCCTGGCCGATGCCTTAGTAATAATCTTTTAGAGTTGAGGAGACAGTGATTGCAAACAATAACAAGCCTCGGTCATCGACTGACATAGGCATTGGCCCGTGGAGGACTGCTTCCTACTTGAACCCTTCTTTCACTGTCGAAAAAGGTGAGTTGACCGAGTGATCCTGGTATTTTCTTCCCTCTCCTCCTACTTCTCTAGCCTTAGCACGAAATGTTCTCTTCAGCATGTGAGGAGAACTCGAAGGAAACAGTGACAAATGGAGAAGCGTCAATAACAGGACATCTTCATATTGGTGAGTTATTGAATGTGTCTTTGCTAACAGTGCAAACGAAAGGATTAAACATTAGGGTGTTGACGATTAAACTTTTTAAGAGCTTTATCACATTCTCCTAAGGAGGAATTCACGATAAGAACGAAGGTCAAAGAAGGGGAAAATTGCATAGTTGGGAGACAGGCGGACCTCCTGAGGGTGCTGACCGACGCGCAATTGGCAGCGAAAGATTTGACCTCGGCGATCTAGCATGGCTCACTCTTGGCGCGGTTGGCGGGGTACGCCCACCGACCATCTAATCACTCGCGCAGGTCTATACGCGGCGAGTGATTCAGATAGCAGAGAGAGCGTAGTGTTGAAGAGGGCGCAGCGATGAGAGTCACATCAATGTGCAAATTCAGTAGAGGCAAGGAACGGTCATTCTCCGCGGTTTTAGGCCATCGCACGGATGGAGCATGCTTAGACCCCTCTCTCTCCCTGCCCTCCTTGCTCGCACATCTTGTCCCTAATTTCCATGATTGCTGACTCTTCTCATCGGATTGAAGTCTGTCCGACTTCTACGCTCAGACATCGTTGTGCGAATTTGAACTGCGACGCGGCCCGAATCCGCTGACTTGCAGTTCCACAATTGTGGGCGAGTAAGAATTTTTATCCTCCCAGAAGCCTCTGAACCGCGGTGAAACTCCAGTTCGGGTTGGGGGGGGCCACTCCATTTTTTCTCCAATACTCAAGATAAGGATTAGAGGGCTCACGACACGTAATCGACTCATTTAAAGTAGACTTCTGATAAATATTGGTGTAATGGGTGAGAAACCCTGAAACGTTTTCACATTTCCGCCTGCCATGACCCAAGGGAACGGTCCTGGACCAGGAGAAAGGACACCTCCGCAAAGGGCTAAGGGTGCAGGAGCTCCAGGGTGGATCACCTGTGCAGAAAAGTGGATGGGATGTGGGCAGGTAGTGTGGAATGTAGGACATCCACCGGTCCTTATCAAAAGTACGCTCGAAATGAGTCGTTCACTTATTATCTTATCCGTAGTGTTCGATAGCCCAAAGAACTGCTCTCTAGTACTACGGATAAGATACAATGGAGGACGTAAGCAAACCAGCCCTTTTGGCACATCGGCTGGGACCGTATGCTGAATGTTGGGGAGGGGATGGTGTCCCCGACGGTGGACGGACAACTTCAACGCGGTCCTTAGAACCGCCACAATTTGGCGCTTACCTTAGAACTAAGCCTTAAAGAGAGGACGGGTCCGTCCCCTCTCCTAGGCTTAGTCCAAGGGTGAGCAAGACCAGTCCTTCTGGCGAAGCTGCTGGACCAGCTGCACCACTTGCGTCAGTACTCTCCTATCGTACCAACCGAGTTGAAGTAAACCGTCGACCGTTGGGGACCCCATCCCCTCCCCAACATTCAGCATACGGTCCCAGCCGATGTGCCAAAAGGGCTGGTTTGCTTACGTCGCAATGGAGGGCCCCCCGAACTAAGTTTCACCCTATGATTCACATAATCAACTCCTGGAGGAGGTCAGACTGGCATGGGCTAATTCAGTCCGATGGTTGGAACCTGTACGATGCATATAAACCGTCATAGTGTTTGTGCCTTCCATTGTCACAAGGGAGAGTCTAGCATATATGTCTATGTCCGGTACCACGGGGACACAAGATACAAACAACAGAACGTGGTCGGGCTATTCGGTAGGCGGGACTGAGCGCAGCTGTCTGGGGCAAACTTACAAGGAGGTTGGATGCAAGCCGATCCATGGGTGAACCACCCAGACTGCGTCAATTCACAAGCGGTTTTTGCGTTTGTTTAGCCATCTGTCAGCCAACGGCTTTTCTTCTTCGCTCCACCCCAGTGAGCCCTCTGGAGTTGGGGTAAAAGCAATCAGTGGTGGTTATGAATGTGGTAGAGCTAGAACTGTACTTCTACCCAATGTGATTAAGGCATTGATTATCCAGGTACGCCATTGAAGGCCACTAAGTTCTTATTGCTACTTTTTAAGCTGTGTTTTTCAAAAGCTTAGGATCTGAGCAGTGCCAGTTGTTTCAGCGATGATTATTTAACGCTCTTTCATTTCAACTACTAGAGCTTCCACGATTTCAGGTAGTGTCAAGGATCACATAAACAGCACGAAGTTCAACCATGGCGACTGACAGTTCATTGGCAAAGGCATTTTGTCGAAGCAAGGGCATCCATTTTGACCCCTCGCTGGCCCCGATTTTTCTTTATTTTCGACACCGTTTCATGCTCGAATGAAGAAAAGGGTCATGTATGGGAATGATAAATGTCTGTGATAGAGCCAAATGCTCCTCCACTTCCCCAGCCAACAATTCGGGTTGTACTATCGTTTTGAATTTCGTTCTCATTTGCCGCTGAACATCTGTGATACATAATTAGCAATATTAATGTTGTTGTGATGGCTTCTCGTTACAATTTAGAAATTCGAAATATTGACTGATATGGTTTTTTTCTCAGATAACGCTATAAAAATTGAACTATTTATTTTCTGTTTATGGATTCTCATCTAGCTCAATCAACGACGCAACAGTTTGGGCAGAATCTCTCGATGTTCAGTGATCCAGTAGTCTGAGGAACGTCACTGAAAAGCGACGAATTCGTGTAGGAGTGCCAGCGGGTTTGTTGAGAAGAAGAGCGACTACAGCAACGATTATTGCGATATATCAAACAGTGCAATTGAGAGAGGTCCTCGCTCGAATATTTGGAGGCGGGCGGCGGGAAAGGGTCACGGCACGATACATAAAATGGAGGTGGTCCAGTGGGTTTTTTGAGAGAGAGCGAGTACAGCCAACCGATTTATTTGCCGGTATAACGAGAAGAGTGCCAATTGAGGGGAGGTCCTCGCCTCGAATATTTGGAGGCGGGGCGGCGGGGAAGGGGTCATCGGCACGGATGACAATTCACTGTGGAGAGAATGAAGGTCGAAGAAGGAGTAATTCACCTAGTTGAGGGACCCGCGGACCTCCTAAGGGTGCGGACTGAAGCGCAATTGGCACCGAAGGAGTTGACCTCGGCGACCTATTAAGGCTCAATCTTGGCGCGGTGGGCCAGTGCACGCCCACCGATCATCTGATCACTCGCCGCAGGTCTATACGTGGCGAGTGATTAGATAGGTGAGAGAGCGTAGTGTTGAAGAGGGCACAGCGATAGTCGCATCAATGCTCAAATCAACGGGCAAGGAAGGGGGGTCCCATTTCTCGGGTTCTGGGCCGTTTCTCATGGTTTTTCCTTCTTTAGTGTACCACTCACCATCGCTAAGTTAATTTGAAATGGGTTGCCTTTCCAGCGTGAATTCGTCCTTTAAGCGTTTTCACAACTGAAGATTCATCTCATCCAGCGGCAACGAACGTCTTTCGCTAGCGCTCTAGCGCAAGTGACACGGGTTGGATGGTAATCATTATATCGAGGGCAGCGATTGCGATAGGTCAAGGAAGTATTTAAAGAGGACGTTTGCTCAGTGGTACGCCATTTGCAAAAAAGTCACAGAGAAATATAGGAGAGAAAAATAAAAAAGGATAAAGCATTTGCCGTTGATCAATCCCTTTTTGGGATGCGGCACGCATTCTACTTCCATTTGTACATTCGCAGTGGCGTTTGAATGCGATGTGGCCTATACAATGACTTGCGGGGGCCAGCCGATGTACAAGTCAGTGTTTTTATCCTCCCAGACAAGTCTGGTACCAATTAACCGACCCCGGAGGGATGGAAGGCTTGGTTGGCCCGGGCGACTCACGACCCAGGATTTGATCCCCGGACCGCTCGCGTGGTAAGCGTGCCACTTGCCACTACACCACTTCCGCCCTAAAAGCTGAGAAATAGCATAGTATCGAATAGTCCCCCCTCTGCCTGCTCATTTGACCATGGATGAGCGGCGGTTAAAAAAAGGTCGATTGGACGTGTTAACCCTGATAGCAGCCATCATGCCAAAAAACTTCATGCTTCGATTGATAACGCATTGCATGGGCACGTTGGAAGATACAGCAGCTAGAAGTGAAATAAGCTTTTGAAATAAAAGCAACAGCAGAGTTCGCCTAAATCATCTACTAGAATTAGTGGTGGAGCTTTTGAAGCGGAGCGCTATTCCAGGTCCTGTAGAGCAGCCAGCGCACTTTCATCGTAAAAACGCCACATCTCCTTTTTTTGACAGCCGACATAGGTAGTGGCGCATATCCTTCCCCCGAAGCTCACCAGCTTTATCGTAATCGCTTTCCTCGAATATCGTTGAAGGCGTCAACACTTTGTCCCTTTCACGAACAGTCTTGACTGGACCGTCCACCTAGAGCACGTTGCGAACGTTCACGAATACGACACGTAAGCAAAATTTGAGCTGATCCAATGACACAAACACCATATTCCAACTCGGAAACGACCTTCACAGCAAAAAGCCAAAGGAAAGTGCCGCTCGCCTTTCAAACCGGCCAATGCTGGCGACGCACTGATGGGCGGAGCACAGGCGGAGGCGGAGCTCAAAAAGGGTTGGCAGCAGGGTCAACCGTCCGTTTGAACTGTTCGAACGAAGGGGTCGCATTTTGGTCGGGAGAGGGAACTTAGTCAGGATTGACCTTTCACACCTCCTCGCCGTGGTTATCTCGCACCACCCTGTAACCTGCCTCTGGGTAGACCTTGCTTAATTAGGTGTGCTGAGTGCTGACCTCGCTCCAACATATCGCTCTCATGCGCAGTATTGATTATCAAGTCTATCTTTATTATATTCACGGAAACAAACCAAAGTTTAATTTATACAAATTTTTAGCATAGTTAACAAAAAATTCAGATTATACAGATGTATTAGTGACATTTCTCGACATCCTACTGCAAAGTCGTTCTATTTCTTCTTGAGATGCGCCGTTTTGGCAACACACTTTCATAAATTAGTTTGCCTGTAGGGAAGTTAGGCGAAACTTTAATTTCGTAAGTGTGAAACTTCAGTCGCGAGCGCCACTCCATGCAGTTAAAGCCACGAGTCAGGATTAGGTAACCATAGAAGGCCTTTCCATCACTAATATTTCCAGGAATGCGCTCAGAGGGGTGATGCCACACTCCTGACTCGAGATTGCGCGCCGTCAAGGCTTCTGGCCTACTACTTACAGCGATGGGTTCGTTACATCAGCTGGTCCCGCCCACCGCGGGATGTGGTGCGTGGCTGGCCTAACGTGTGAGATCAGCTAGGTTGATTGCCGTATCAACCGATGGAACGGCTGGCATATCCGGAAAACTCGTTTGGACGTGGCTCTCCCCCGAGCAAGCCTCCTTCACTGCTAGAAGGGAAGGGGTTTCGATTTCGGTCTTGTCGACGGTTTCTTTGCGTTTTTTCTTCACTGTCGTTCCACCTCCCATCTCTACACTCAATTTCAGGCGCCATAATGCCCAAACACGAGCCTGACTTTTGCCTTTAAGTAAACTTCGTAACTTCTGCTATTTGTGCTATAAAGCTATGATAAGATAATAAGTAAACGACCCATTTCAAGCGTACTTTTGATAAGGGCTGGGTGGATGCCTCTCCGTTCCACACATCCTGCCCACATCTATCCACTTTTCTACCCAGGTCATCTGGAGCTCCTCAGAACCGTTTTCATGGACCATGGCAGGCGAATATGTGAAGACATCTTGGGACTTCTTCCACATTACAGCGATACTAATCAGAAGTATACTCTAAATGAGCCGATTACGTGTCATTAGTGCTCTCATCCTTATCTTGAGCATTGGAGAAACAATGGAGTGCCCCCCAATCTGGAGTTTCACCTTTCCGCAGCTGTTCTGCGTGGAAAACGGCTTGCACTGCGAGTGCTGTTAGCTAAAAATTAGTTATTTTTGAGCTCCCATTTTTATCCATTTTTCTGAGATTTTGTTTCCTCCAACCGCTACTGTATAAATGAATTTATTACCAATATCAATATATCCTCTATAATGAGTCTGTCGGAGTTGGGTCAGCACTCAGCTCAGCTAATTAAGCGAGGTCCACCCAGAGGCAGGTTACAGGGTGGTGCGAGATAACCACGGCGAGGAGGTGTGAAAGGTCAATCCTCGACTAAAGGTGCACATTTTTTGGTCGGAAGGGGGTCGCAATTTCGAGGACTGCCAGCCACAGGCGCGTGCGTGGCGTATCCGAGGGCAAGAATTGTTTGTGCAGACCGCATTAGATTCGATTATTATGCACAGAGAGACAGTTTTAGGCAAATTACGGTGTTTTCCTTGAGGAATAAAGAACAGTTGAATGCATCCCTATGAAAGGTTTGACTTCTCGGGGCTGAAATTAAAGTTCTTCGGGACCTAATTTTCTGAGGACGATTCTTCCAGACAACGGTAAAACATATAAGAAAGCAGAAATCTCGTAGTCTTCAAAAATGTCTTCGCCCCTCCCCAACAAGTTCTTTGAAGGAAGTTATTATTGCTGAAAGCTCAAAAACTCGCATGTGCTGCTCAAAAACCTATGGGAACAAAATGTTCGAACGTGTGATTTTCTCGGAAAATGAATTTTGAAAAACGGTTGGTGCTTGCCAGAAAGAGCAAATCCTGCTCTTTCACCCCATGAAAAAAGTGCATCACAGAAATGAAAATGAAGTGAGTTATGCCCGCTTAAAGCCCAAAAACTCGCGATTTCAAAAAAAGTGTTCGGCAAAACCCCCAAAATGTTCGAACGTGTGATTTTCTCGAAAAATGAACTTTGAAAAACGGTTTAGGGCTTGTTAGAAAGAGCAAATCCTGCTCTTTCACCCCATGGAAAAGTGCATCACAGAAATGAAAATGAAGTGAGTTATGCCCGCTGAAAGCCCAAAAACTCGCGATTTCAAAAAAGTGTTCGAACGGGCGATTTTTTGAAAAAGAGGACAATCGTCAAACTTTTTATATTATTTTGTTAGAGAAATATTTGAAGTTTCTGAAACTTTTTACAGATTTCCAAAATGTCGCATACGAAAGATTTTATGGGCCTTCAAAGTTGAAGGTGCGCCTTCTTAGAATTTTGGGTTTTCCACTTCTAACAGAAGTACTTTCCGGAGAGTTAGGCAATCCTTGTAGTTTTCTGGAAGCGCACCTCAGGCACAATCAAAATCTACCTCAACAAGTCAAAAAAATACGTCCCAAGAAAGTTATTCCCCTCTAAAATTTTTTCTTCGCCGCGTCCCGTTCTTCCAGC